ACAGAAAGCAAGATGATACAGAGAGGTATGTCAGCACATAGAGAAAAAGGTAGATAGAGAAAAAGAAGGAAGGTAGATGGAGAAAAGCAGTATCACAAACGAAGTCTCGTGCGTACACAATCCTCATTTAAAACAAGCTAATTGTCCAGAAAAGAAGACGAACAAGAAGAAGTTCGGTGAAAAGAAACAAAAATCGAAGGGGGAAAAACACAGAAGAGACAGAACCCAGTCACATAGGCTACCAAGAGTGCTTCTTCAAAACACGAAAAGAATGGTGCAATAAAAAAAAGGGAAACGTAATGTGTAAGATTTTACCTTTTCAAATTGCAAAATGTAGGTTTGGTTAAATCTACCTACCACACAGAAAAGTAAATCTAAAAATAAAAACAGACTGTCCAATAAGTACGATAAAGAAGAAGAAAGGGAGGCAAAAATAAACAAAACTCTCATCTTTTGTCTAATCTATAAAATCAAGATTTAATAAACGAATGAGACAATTACTTTTTTATTAATAAAAGTTGCAATATAAGTGGTCTGACAATCAACTGGTTTAGTAGCCCTGATATACCTGCAGTTACAACGGAAGGACTGGCGTCAAATTGACGGTTAAAAAACCGGGTTTGTTTGTGTGTAAAGACATTGGCTTCACCCCTGGCTGACCTAGCAAATTGTTCTCTGAGGTTCACTAGAAAGGACTAGAGTGAAGAGATGGAGGGGATGTTCACAAAACGAAGAAGAAATTCTAAACAAAAAGCATGCTGAACTGTCACAAGTCACACAATTAATTAGCTTGAAAGAGTTTCACATAAGTTGCTAAAACACTAAAAACAATTATCATTTCAAATATTCAAACCAAATGATAAAATATGTTACAGAAAAAGCTCCAATTTGATGTAAAAATTCCGAGGCTCTTGAGTGTCCTGCTAAATATCTAACACGTACGTCTAATCGTAAAACAACATGTTAGCTCGGTTGCCTTCGAAGTGGACTGTACGCTGGGCCATCCCACCTCAGATAAAAATTCTCTAGAACATAGATTGACGACTATTCATGACTCTCAATCCAATACGGCTCCGTCTTCAATTGACCGTCAAATCTTGTCCTCTTTACTGACTTTACAGCGGGGTAGAAAGGTGATACAATCCTACAGATCGAGCCCATTATGCGCTGTCCATTACACCTTCAAAAACAAAACTTTCCATGAAGCAGTGTTCAAAGATTGTAAAAGGAAAACTTCAGGGATCATGTTTTTCAAGCACGCAAGTCGTGGGTATAAATTTCCGTAATGCTAAACGTTTCAGCCATAGACACTATCCTGTTCTTTATTGACAGACGTGGCATTAGACGTCTTCTTCCATACAGAGGCTTGTTGTTCGACATTTCTTCTATTACTTGTCAGGGGTGGTCCTGGGGTCCTTTTGTCTCTTGTTACGTTCAAGCAGTTTCCATTGTTTCAGTGATCTTCAAGTTGACCACAAGATTTCCTCAAGCTCATCATTAGTTTTCCTCAAGTTGACCTTTTTTTTTTCTTCAAGCTGGCTAGAAGTCTGGGCATTCGATGTCAAGTTGACTCTATCTGTCTGTAAAAAGACTCCTTTTTCTTATTTGTAGCAGCCCGTAGTCCATCTCCAGCATAAAGTGGTGTCCTCAAGTCACCTTCACCTTCACCTATCTCGTTGTCTTGCAGACCGCTAGGGCACAAACTGCAGGTATTGCAAACTCCAGTCCACTCTGTTCTCAGCTTTCCGGTGGAAGATGTTCCAAACAGACCTATAGTCAAAAGTTACATCTTTGCTTACACTGCACGTCACACCTAGTTCATAGTTCATGGTCTCCTCTATTCGTGTTTTGTTATAAAGGTATATCCGTACATTGAGCGTCTTAAATCGTGAAGAAAATATTCTACTTTTATCCCAAAGTTCAACTACAGCAAACGAGTCAGTTTGACTGCACACATTTTGTACGTCTTTTCAGTTAAGTTTTGCTTTGTGAAGACTGTGCTTGTAGAGGTGATATGTGCTTGCTTTCTCTGGTAAGATATAATTGTTCCAAGCAATTGTGTTGTTTTATTTTTCTTCGAACAGCTCACAAAAAAACAAAAATATGAGATGCTATTTTTCACAATTGCTATTATTAGAGCAATGTGCCAACTAAAAAGAAAGTACAACTGTAATAAGTCTTTCTATTATCGATGTTCTTGTAAAGATTTTACAGCCGCTGTTCATTTTTTGCCACGGAAGCAAAATCAGTCAAGCAAAACGAATGAGAAACACAAAATCCACAAAGAAAAAAAAAATGGTGAAAGGATAGACACACTCTCTAATCAGGTCAATAAAGAGCTACATACAAGTGCTACGGGAAAAAGGAGAAAAAAATGTCTAAAAACAGAGTGAGGCAAAACAAGGGAATTTACCAAGAAAAAGAGCAAGAATCTTAAAGGGTGGAGTGAGACGCCGTGAATGGCGTTGTTTTGTTGAAACATTTAGAAACAGCTACATATTATCAATACAATAAGATATTACAATGCACTTCAGTCGACCCGTCACCCTAGATCTATAGCTATATGCATTTCATCAACCAAACAGAAATCAAATACAATCACCAAAAAAAGCGTTATTCTAAACCTATCCTTTAATTGTCAAAAATGTTCTTTTAACAGAAGAAATGCATGCACTACATGGAATAACACTGTTGAAAAAAACAAACGAACATCAACAAAAAAAACCAAACAACAACAAAGGAAAGAGAAAATGACGAAGCAAACAAGAAGAGACGGCAGACAAGAGCGTGAACGTCCACAGAGCGAGAGAAGAATCCACTACGCCAGCTCCAAGCAGCCAGTCTATGGGGGGCGTGGCCTTGTCTAGCTGACGGCTTTCTGGACTAGCACACAATGTGGCTCACTGTCACTAACTTTAAAAAAAACATAGCTTACTCATACGTCCAATCAATAGACCAAATTCAATGTTGAGAAACATTGTAAACCATCATACTCAAAATCATAAATATGCAAATTTGCATATAAGTGCCACCCTTTTAAAGTTTCAGAAAAAACCCAGAACTGAAGAATCTGTATGAATAACGCATTTTATTGTGCTTCTTTTAAAAAAATGCCCCAACACAGAATGCCTTCAAGAGATAATGAATGATTTAAATGCGCGAGCTCAGAGGGTTAATTCAGTTCAATACTTTCCCCAAGAACACATGCCTGCCATTCTGCGATTCATTTCGTTTAGCATTTCGAATTAAGGGCAAAAGAATCGTATTCTCCAAAGGTTATTAAAAAATTCAACAGCTCCCTTAACATTGTGAAAAAGCATACTAACGGAGCTGCACGTTATTGTAAATTATAATTCAATTTAATTTCCATGAGATCTTACACTAAACTGCCTTCTAATCCTCAAGCAAAGTACTTTTCTCAGCAGAATGTATGAGCTACATTGGCGTCGTCCAGAAGGCTGTCTTATACACAATAGACCCACACAAACAAACCAAGCCAGTGGGGAGGTTGAGGGGGGGGGGTATTTAATGCTCTATGTTTTAATGGATCAAATTAAGGGAAAAAATCCACAAACTTCATATCAGCACATCTAGCATCTATCTACACTTGTTTGTTGAATTACTATAAGACGTGATGCAAAGAAATATTCCGCAGACTTAAGTTTCTGCAATAAGTTGCAACTGCTTTCCATTACTGACATAAAAGCAAAATATGGTTTCAATACATTTATTTTTTTCAAAATGTCGCTATGTACTGCCTCAGCCTGTTTATGTATAAAATGCAGCCTTCGTCTATCCTACTTTCAGTATGAGCTTGTCCTTTTACTCGACACAAGATATGTGCACAATAAAATGATATTCAATTTGTGGACACATTGCTTTGCATCAAGTCCCATTCCGTCTATATGTAGCGTTCCTAATACCTAGATGAAAACGTATGCTTCATTATCATGCTCTCGTTGAACGTCAAATGTTGGTAGGTTTACAGTACCCTTGGTTCAAGCAGCCTGGTTCGTCTTAAAGGAAGCTCAAAGTGGCACTATGGCAAAGCAGCCAACAGATGCACATGTTCTGATGCACACTGCATGCGCTGCACTAGCAGACAATGACTATAAACCTAGGTTCAAAAGCCTTTGCTCCTATCATGCACTTTATGCATACTCAACTTACATTTTGATTATCAAATCCTATTAAATACGTAACACATAGGCAATACACTGAAAGAAAATCCACACTTGGAGAGAGACAGACAGGCTCTAATACTTGCAAAGAGAAGCAAACGATGATTGTTCCAAAGAGGAGCAGAACAGTAAGTGGAGGAATTCTCTGGCAACAAAGGGGACCAGAAGCTGTGTCGTGGCCAAGGTTGGTAAAGCACCATGACGCAACAAAGCCAGGGGTAAAGAAACGGTGGAGACAGCAGGAAGCATAAAGGGGTGTGGTGGGCAGAACAGCGCAGGGGGTGTCAAGTGGAGTCAGGGCAACAGTATATTGAAGCAATGAGCAGCATAATTAACAATTAAACCTAAAAATACCCCCCCTAAAAACATTCGATGTCTAGCCCACCTCCCCCACCCCCCACAAAAAAATCGATTAAAATCCTAACAAACAAACAAAAAGCAAACAGCTTGGGTTCCAGACCCAGGTACCTGATGGGACCAACTCTTTCTATATAAGAATCCTGACTTGCAAGTCATCTGGATTTACTGTGTCTAGTAGGGTATGGAACTCTTCCCAACCCTTGCCCCCCTCCAACAAATTTCACCCAAACATGTCAAGACTTTGGTCTGTCCCCTTCCCGATATTCACAAACCCCTCGTCCCCGCTTGAAAAAAAAAAAGAAAAAGAAACCTCCTCAATTTCAAATAATCTAAACGAAAAATTCAAACAACAATTTCAAAACTCAAACAAAATGCCACCCCCAAAAAACAACAACAACCAAAAACAAAAAACCCAACCAAAACCCACAAAAACTAAAGACAAAACATGCCGGCACGTACCTGCATCTGTAAGCTCTTATCCAGCATGGGGTTGTCGGCGCGGTCGATCCGCTCGAGTTCCCGCACGTAGTTCTCCAGGTCCTCGTCCATGGTGTCCTGGTGGGCCTGCAGGGCCCGAGCCTGCGCCATAGCCGCTTCCCGCTCGTGGAGGAGGATGTCCAGCTGGCCCAGTAGCTCTTCCCAGTCGTCCTGGAACACGGGGAGTGGTGGTCAGAGTGAGGGCGTAAATAGTTTGGATGTGTTGTTGGTGATCCTTGACTATTCAACTCTTCAGATTATTCTCAATCTTTCTCTCTTTCTACCTCTATTTGCCTGCCTGTCTGTCTCTCTCTTCCTCTCCCTCTCTCTCTCCCCTCCTCTACTCTAGAAGGATACTATTTTACGAGTCAGGTAGAATGGTGTTGCAAAAGGTCTAAAAATTCACTCACAGTCAAACTATTTCACTCCCTCCCTGCCTCCAAAAAAACAAACACGCATATTTACACACAAAAGCGTGTGCTACTCTGTTGTCAGCCCATAATATTTCCCCCCTCTCTGTAACTTAAATGTTATGACAATCGATCTTTCTCCACAAGTCCTCACCTGGATAGCCCTAATGACAGGGTCCACAGAGTCAGGGTTGTGCTGAGTCAGTGATCTGTAGTGACTCTGGAGCTCCTCGATGGCAGGAGCCCTCGCTCTCACCTCGTCACGGAACGTCTGCAAAAGTAAACGTGTGAGTTCAACGCCTCTGTCAACACTATTTGGTTATTTATGAGGTGGGACCTCCGAATTTAGTATCCATTTCTAATAGTAGCAAAGCTTAGAAGGGATGCCCATAAGTCAAATGGACCTGACCTCCAGAATCAGGTGGGATCGTGTTGAGCTTTTGGTATTGGAGAGAGTTTTACAGCACTGGCAACAATAATAGGGCATATAAGTCCTGGAGATTAGAAATGTTACTAGAGAATAACATATAAAAAAGAAGGAGGAGAGATAAGGACGATACATGTCTGGTAGGAAAGAAGCAAATCACACCAGAGCATCAGCCTACTACCCGCAGGTCAGGTTTGGGAAATAGCATTGTCCTGCGAACACTATATCAAACTGTAGACAAATAATTAATTACAGATGTGGGTAAACATTACTCCATCTCAAAAACACATTTGGTACTTACCACGCAATGAAAAACTTTCCCAAGCAATTACAGTCGAACCTACTCTTAATCAACACCTGTTCAAGACCATCAACTGTACAAACGACCACTTTTCACTCTCCTCTCACCCCTTTTGCCTTTTTACACTACAAATGACACTGTCCAAGAGCACCAGCTGTCTAAGAAGACAACTTTGCTCCTCGATAATGAAATGTCTTGGGCGGGTTCTGCTGTACTCTTAAGAGCAAACAAACGCCTACCTTGAGCCTATCAATGTCGAGTTGGGCTGCTTCAGAGTGCAGCTTGGAAGGCTGATCCTCCAAGTCCCGTAACTCTTCCTGTTTGTTATGGAGCCAGTGGCGGAGTTCTTGTCGCATCCGGTCCACGGAGTCCCACTTTCGCATCATGTCTCGTAGTCTGTCCAGACGTTTCTCGGCCTGAAGGTTGACGGAATTGTACAGAATGGTAAACATCAGGAACATACTGAAAATGCTACTTCTATTTCTTCTTTTTTCTCCACCACCTTCTGCTCATCCTCCTCTTCCTTCTTCTTCGTCTTATTTATTTACTCTTCTTCTTCTTCTTTTTCTCCTCCTCCTCCTTCTTTTCTCCTTCTTCTTCTTCTTCTTCCTCTTCTTCTTCTTCCTCTTCTTCTTCTTCCTCTTCTTCTTCCTCTTCTTCTTCTTCCTCTTCTTCTTCCTCTTCTTCTTCTTCCTCTTCCTCTTCCTCTTCCTCTTCTTCTTCTTCTTCTTCTTCTTCTTCTTCTTCTTCTTCTTCTTCTTCTTCAGGTGCCACATCAGTAACAAACATCAGCTGTTTTTGTCACCACACTCCTTTCTTAGCTTGAATGCTCTCAAAAACGTACACTTTCCTGGTCTTTTCACGTCACCCATTTGTTCAAGTCACCCATCCGTTCAGTATAATATTACTAATCATATCATATGTCCCCACCTGGTTGACACATGTGGCCAGCTCGGAGTTGACCTGCTCGGCAAACTGGGACACGGCAGACTCCATGTCCTCCTCAGCTTTGTCCAGCTGGTCAGTGCTGCCCAGGTTCTCACAGCGGTGGACAGCGTTGTGGAGCTCTTGCTTCATGGCGTACAGCTTCTCCAGCTCAGCCTGGACAACCACATGGAAACACACGCATATTTACACACAAAAACCCCCAACAACAACAATAAAAAACCCAATGACAAACAAACAACTACGGTACAAGTAATGTACACCCCTCTCCCCAACAGCACCTTTATGCTGCTGCACTCGACATCTGTATAGTATCTATCCTTCTGCTAGTCTGTCTATCAGTTGAACTACAAACATATTTTACCTTCTAGGACACACAACTGCATTCTATACATCTCTATCCATCTTTCAGCTAGTCTGTTTGTCTGTTGAACTAACTGCACATCTACAAACCGTATAGGCTTGTCTGTCTGCCTACCTGCCAGCCTACCTGAGTCTGTATGTCTGCATATCTGTTTTTGTTTGCCTATCTGTCAGCCTTCCTGTCTGTATACCTGTGTTGTCTGTCAGTCTATTTGTCTGTCTGCCTGTCTATCTGTATTCTGCCCGTCTGACTGTCTGTCTATAGTTATGATCGTGCTTTTGCCTGTTTATCTGTTTGTTCGTCAGTATATCTGTGTATCTAGGCCTATCTGTCCGTCTTTCTTGTTTACCAACTTTCATCTTCATTCTATGCAACAATATCTACCTGATTATATTATACCCTCTGTCTCTAAGCCTACCTGAGTAGATTCCCTATGTTTCTGAACCTACCTGCGTAGATTCCCTCTGTTTCTGAACCTACATGAGTAGATTCCCTGTTTCTGAACCTACCTGAGTAGATTCCCCCTCTGTTTCTTAACCTACCTGAGTAGATTCCCTCTGTTTCTTAACCTACCTGAGTAGATTCCCTCTGTTTATTAACCTACCTGAGTAGATTCCCTCTGTTTCTGAGCCTCTGCCAAGTTGTCCGGCACGTTCTTCTCGGCCGCCGCCAGCCACTCGGGAAAGTCCTCAGTGAGGTATTCGTGGGTGGAGTCCAGCAGGTCCTTGTACGCCTGCCACTTCTGCAGGATCTCGTTCAGTCGGTCCTGTGGACAGACCATGAGAATCCCCAATAGAAAAACAGAATGATAGAACATGAATGTTCCTGCGGACATAGTTTGAGAATCCCGTTTGTTTGTTTGAGTATAGAGAAGCGTACATTCACACAATATTGTCTTTTACTTTTAGTGCTGGGGAAAAGAAGCAAGAGAGAATGATAGATAGAAACAACAGAGGAACAGAGGAGAACAGAAGAAATCTTAGGAACAGAAGAAGTAAGACGTCTTCTTCAACTTGCTCATCTTTAAATAGAAATAGAAGTTAGACGTTCCTGTGACATCCTATAACCACCCACTGAGAATCCCGAAATAGAAGAACAGAAAAGGAGAACAACAGAAGGGGAATAATGGTATGGTGGGATTTTGAAGGGGTATGTCCAACTGTTCAGATAGGTTACAGCTGATGGAGTGACGGTCAACTCGAGACATGGTCATGTATTCAGACACTATTCAGAGTATTGTGCGCCTCCCTGCTCCTCTGCCTTGTTGTTTTTAACTTTTTTTGTGTATTTACACTCCCATCGACACTTTGTTGATCATTTAGGAGGTTGACTTCAGCCAGCCCTGCCTGGGACGAATCTAACGTACCAGCACAAAGACAGAGATACTCGATAAAAATTCTCCCCACAAGGGAATCGAACTCGGGTCTCCTATGTGCGACAGCAAAGTACCTTACCGCCACACAACAGATGCCAGTGAAGTTCAGATAGACTACAGCTGATGGGTTAGAAGTAAACTCGAGAGGTTATAATCATGTATGCTGAGTAATCTGCGCCTCTCTGTTGCTTTGCCTCGATCAACAAACTGTAAGTTGCTACAATGAGAGTTTTACACCCCCATCGACCCTATTTTATGTACAGGAAGTAGGGTGCTTCAACAAATCATGTCAGAGCCAAAGCGAACAGTGTGAAAAAACCCGTGTCTGTGGTGTTGCGGGTAGGCACCGTGCTGTTGCACACAAAAGACTGAGTTTGATTCCTGTGTAGTGAGATTTCTTACCGAGTATCTTGAGTTTTCTGCTGGGATGCTCAATGGGAAACGATCTTATGTCTTCTACAAGCAAGGCATAGCGCTTTATATATTATACCACAACCACCAGTTGTGTGCAGAAAGGAGATATACTACTTAACTGGAACAATATCTCCAAATAGGAACAATTTCGAACCTCTAGCGTGCAAAGGACATCACATCACATACGTCTGTGAGGTTCTTAAAACATTCCATCCGTCACGGACGTAGCTGATCGTTGGGACAAAAATCCTTCCCTTCATGAGAAACTTCGACTGTTGGTGTCAAACTGACAGTTGCCCAGCAGCTGTAGTTCTGAATGAGGCCTTTCTTGACTTCCTCCTCGGTCATCATCCTCAAGGTGCCTTTTACATCTTTAAAGATCTTTGACTTTCTCAGTCACCATTATATCCGAGGTTTATTTTTACCTCTTCAAAGACCATTGACTCCCACAGTCACCATTCCCGGGGTCCATTTTATTTCTTCAAAGAACACACGCTGTTTAGAGTACATGAGCTTTGCCTTCTCTGAGAAGGGATTTTAAAACGTATTTCTGTACGTCATGCCGTCAAAAGCGAACACAAACGTTAACGACCAGCTATTGTTGCTTTGTGTTGTTTTTTTGGGGTATTTTTTTGTTTGTTAAATAAATATGTTAGCCAGATGGCTGAGCAGCTGTTTGTTTTCACTGATTAACAGATGGCGTAATCAGAATATTGTCACGTGCGTCTATTCCATAGGACTCAAATAGGTTTGGCATACATGTATACAATTTAAGTAAGCAACGATTTAATTATGAACGTCAGTCCTAAACCCCCCCCCCCCCCCTAAACCCCCTTCTGGCACAGCCGAGGGAGTAGTTAAAAACGAGATCTTCATTATCTGCATTGACGATCTGATGTGACACAAGGAAGGTTTTCGTTTTGGCTGGTTAATGTTAACTTTCTCACATTCCACAGAACGATGTGGATTATTTATTGGGAGGCGAGCTGGTTTCAATCTGCCAATCAGAGCCATCCCCGACTGTCTAGGATAGGAGTGTGTTCTCAGAAGCAGAAAATCCAGTTTTTCCTTGAGTGTTTCGAAGAGCGACATAACATTCCGAACACACCCATCGTACCGCTACGTCTTACAGATCCACATATCTAATTTGCCGTTCAACCTCGTTTTTTTGGGTGCGTGTACGTGTGTGTGTGTGTGTGTGTGTGTTTGTGTGTGTGTGTGTGTGTGTGTGTGTGTGTGTGTGTGTACGTGTAAGTATGGGTAATATGTGTGTGGGTAAGTGTGTTTATGGGTAATAAGTAAGTGTATGTGTGTGTTAGTGTACACACGCACACACCTACGAGTGTAAGTGTAAGTGCATGTGACAACCTTCTGAAGACCTTCTGTTCTGTCCCAATACATGCGACGCTGTTGACCGAAGCAATTCTGAAGTGAGTGACCCAGTATACAATCCAGATGACTCATCTAGTAAGTTGTACTGTTTTGTTTGTTTGCTGCCTTTTGTTTTTTGTTGGTATATTTATTTGGTCTTTTCTTTATTTAATAGCGACATCGTCCTCTCGAAAAATCCGAGATAGCTGGTGTTCCAAACACCCTTGTGCTTCACTGCTATCTGTTCTCCAAAATTGTGCTAATACTTGAGTATACTATGAGCTCTGCTGAAATATTTCAGAGTTTACAGTGCCGTTATGAATCAAAAGATGACGTTATTGGTTCTTTAAGAGACATCTGAAATATCTATTTTCCGCGTGCTATTAAAAAAGTGGACTGTATTGATAATATATAAATATTTCATCTTTTAAAAATGTTCACTTGAAAAGGGCGTGGTTATTCCTTTCTTACGGATTACCTCACGTCATGATTCTGCTTTCAAAAGAGCTTATGATGACACATTTGTCGCCTCTTTTCGTGTCTTTTTAAACCAAGGACGGTTATCTGTTTTAATGATGTTGCAGCAAACGTCGAAAACCCCATCGACAGTATGTGAGATGCTTCCCAGCAGAAAGACAGTTAACGTAGTCTTATTAAACAGAGTGGTCTTCCAAACTCGAGAAATTGACTAGATCTAGTTGGAAAAAAGAAACTGTACAGATAGATTCAGCGGGTCTACCCACTTTTGCTTACCCCCCCCCCCCCCCTCACCCTCCTCACCCCTAAACACAAAAGAGGTGTAAATTAATTTAATTTATTCGGAACGTTTTTAGTTTTTAGACTCTGAGATGCTAGCTCTTAGTAGGACATGTTATTGTTTTAGTCCGTTGATGGAATTGGAAAACGGCCAATTATTTATTCTGCCCGACCTCAAGCTGAAATACTTTCCCCTATGGCATGTCGGAGTGACCGGTCTTCATGTTCTGCCAACATGCTGCTGTACGCGATACTTTTGGTATGAGGCGGAATTCCTTTGTCAAAGACAACGGCCTCACACAAGTGTCCTGGAAGGAAGAAATCATGGTGTTCTACCTTGTGGGTGGTTGGTGGGTGCTCTGGTGTGGTTTGCTTCTTCTTTCTTATCAAACATCTATCGTCCTTATCTCCCCTTCTTCTTTTTTAAGTTTGTTACTCTCTTGTAACACCTTTAATCTTCTGGCGCTCATATGAGCTTATGCAGTTGCGAGCGCCGTAAAATCCTCTACTAAAACTAAAGTGTTCTATCTTTTGGTTTATTGGCATAAGTACACCGCTGTTTTTTGTGTTTTTTCAATTGTTTATTTTGTGCATAGTATAATATGAGGGGTCTTCAAGAAGCCTTTATTCTGACTATGAAGGAATTACCGTCATGAAACTACGATCTACTTTGGCCAAGAAAAGACGAGGGAAGCTGCAAAAAGAAACCCTCCTGCTGAACGACAATGCTCCAGCGCACAGAAAGGTGGAGACACCTCAGCCAGCAAAGCAGGGTGGCTACGAAACCCTCCCGTACCCATCCTATTCATCGGGTATAACTAAAGCAACTTTTGGCTTTTTTCTTTTTCCCGAATCTGAAAAAAGTTCCCAAAATGACAACTTTTCCATAGTGCAGTGGGGGAATGGTTTGAGTCCTATCCGAAGTCATAAATTATCATGTTCGAGGAGTTTTAAATTCAAACGTGTACGAATTTACGCGAAGACTATGTAGAGAAGTAGCACTGGGAGTGTCAAGTGTCAAATGTCAACTGTCTAGCTCGCTTCTTTCCTAGTCCGGGTAAAGACTAAGTGAATTCCCCTCGTAAATTCACGAATCTCAATAATTTGCATAGTTTATTTACCACTTTAAAGAACGCATGATTTATTTGTTTATTTATTTATTCACTCGCTATCAAACATTAATGCACTTGCTTCTAGTCTATTATATAGTAACTGATTAATTTATTGATGAACTATATATTTCTTTTTTAAGATCTGTTATTGTGTTCACTTGATTTTTAAAAAGGGGAAGGAGTGGTAAGGGGATCTTTTTTAAGCCATACGTCTTGTTTCAGTTTCTGTCAAAAAGAGCTTTCAAAGTTTCCCCGGCCTACGCTTCCATTCTTCAGAATGTCTTTGGCATCAGATCCAGATATAACCTCCAACATCAAGTCTTCCTCTTGAGCATCGATCTGAACTTGCTATTGATGTTGTGGTACTTTCTTTGATTATTGGTTTCAGGATACGTTTAAATGGCATTGCCAATACCTTTATAATATGACCTTTGAATATAAGGCAGGGTGGGGGTGGGGGGGGGGGGGGGTAAGAGAATGCTAAAATAACGCTGTACTATATTTTTGTTCTCTTTTTTTCTTATAGCAAACGTATTATGCCCTCATCGGCACAATGTCGATGATCACTTATATATAGCTGGATGCTTTGATCGCACAGATCCCATTTTCTCTGTCAGTGCTAGGAGCATTTATTTGAATATTTGCCTTGAGAGCACTTTAGTCTCTTTCACCACGAGTATGCAAGTCTATTGCTTACTTTCTCGCTCTACCGCTGTACAAGAAAACCATTTAGCCTTG